TATGCTGACTATTCTGAACTCCAGCTTACTACAGTGGAGTTGAGGCTATTCATCGCCTTGCTTGTTCAAGCCTGAAATAAGCATTTTGCTGCTAAATATGAAAATAACTGTATAAGCGGTATTCTAACAGTTAGCCAAATTCTCCTTTAGATTCAGTTCTCTGCAGAGAATTTGGCCCCATGTATGTAAACGAGTAAGAAGATGCAGACTTCAGATCTCAAGAGTGTAGGTTCAGCTTGAGAAATAATATAATAGGCGATTTCTGCTATGTGAAGTCTTGAAGCACTGTGTACGCTTGTGTAGAAATGAATAATAATAAAAATATTACCTCAGTGTCTGGGGCCAAGTTCTGATATAATCATTTCAGTCAATGGTGTTAAAGCTGGGGTAAGTAAGATCAGCATCAGGCCCATGTTGTTTGATGTAAGAAAATCATTCAAACATACCGAATCAATTTATTTATACTGGAATTATTCAAACCCTCATGCCAGGACATCAAGTTAGGAGAGTGAGAATGCCCTGTCTGTGCCTTTTTCCCATAATTCCTGTCGTTGTATTATAACTCAGAATATACCAAGAACCAAGAGTTGGTACCCATAAGATCTCGTACTCATGTGTTTCATGTACATTTCAGTCAAACCTCTTTTACCAGTTATTAAAGATTTTTGTCCGAATTCACTCCAGATGTAAGTGTAATTTCAGTGACTTCAGCAGAGTTGCACCAGCTGAGAGCGGCACTTGAAATTAACCCTTTGAGTGTGTAAACTGAATTAAGCAACAATAACAGACTCTAGATTTTCTTTACAATGAACAAAAATGGATGGCTATTTTACAATTCCTTATAAGTCTTTGATAATTTCTGTAATTGCTTTTGTTACTAATTGGAATCAAAATGCCATCCGTTCAGTATTTATATGGATCAAATACCCTTCTTCATAGAAATTCAACTGTAGTTTTACATCAAGGCCCAAATCCTGAAGTCCTTACTTAACTTTTACTCAACCTTTTGTTACCTGAGTAAGAACTGACTTCAGTATATGGTCCACTTGTTGAGCCATAGCTTATAATGAATAGAAAGTCACAGACACTTTACTCCTTATTCAAAGAGGTTTGATTGTCTATAGAACTTATTTTGGTGCAAATTAATTTTGCTGTGAATGCATGACCCACCTAATGAGGTGAACAAAGGTATAATTTTCTATTCAATCATAGCAAAATGCCCTAAATTATTTGGGCAGATTTTTTTGTGTGCACACACACGCTAGGAAAACAAACTTTAAAATGAAGAAAGGGCATAGTAGTAACTGATAAGTCTTTTTTTTATTTCCATTATCAAGTTTTCTGAAAGAGTCAGGTGCCCCATCTAAGCTTTTGGAAAGACCATAACCAGCCACAGTGTTGCTCTGGATTATACACTACCATTCCTACTGGCTCATATATCCTAATACTTATTTGTGGTATAATTATGACTCAAACAAAGATAGAGGCCTGTTGCATTAAAGTCATAATTGGAAATGTTCCGGTATGTTTTGCTCAACTAGATAACCTAGTTTGACTTAGAGTGAGGCACTTCATTCAGTGAGGGAAGGTTAATTCACCAGAATCCATTTCCTGTCTTTATTGTCTGCCATAAAGATATTAATATACCCGGATACATATTGCTATTCTGAAATCTCAGACCCAATCTCTACTGCTGCACAGCCACATCTGAGCTATTGGTCATTTTTATACTTATAGTTTTAATCAATTTTTTTTTTTTTTTGGTAAATCCATCATAATACTAGAACAAAGCAGTGTAAGTAGGGGATTTAGCAAAATGAACCTGGCTATTTGTCCATGACCCAAATGCTAGTACTGCCACAGTAACACATAGCTGATAGTTGAAGTCAGCAGTACCATCCATGAACTGAGTTTTATTATCCAGTATCCATCACATTCTGCAGCTGTGAAATTTGCAATCAAACAGAGCATTGTTTTAAGCTCCAGCAGGATCAAAATGTAAGTCGGGATATAAAGTTAATCATCTGTTAGCCAGTAATAGGCAGCCAGTCATCCATTACAGTAAAAAAGCAAAAGATGCTGCTTACTCAGTAGAAAAATGAACATATAAAGTGTAGTTGGAAACATGAAAATGTTACCATCTAATTGGAAACCTTTATTAAATCATTTGCTGTGAGGAATACAATGTTATTTATATTTTTTATTTTCATGCTTCTCTTGGAGAGTAGTTTGAGGGGTGAGACGTGGCGATTGAATGACTATAATGTAGGCTTCATTTCTTTCCTTTCTATTCACATTACAAAATTTCTTCATTAGCCCTTATACTAAGGCTGTTTCTGATATAAGGCTTGATTCACTAGTGCCTCAGTGGAAGGTGTAATTTATACCTCCCTGCATTAGCAAGGCCTACTGCTCCACATGGAAAATTCAGTTAAAGGAGGCTGATGCTGTCCCTCCCCTATCTTCCCTCAGGGTCTCCAAGGGGATGGGGATGAGGGAAGGATGCAGCTTTAGTTTACAGCTGGAGCCACACAGAAGCTCTGCTGGTGGAGACTACAGAGGGGATGCTCAGAATCAGTGCTACCTTTGCAAGATGAACTAGTCCCCCAATGTTCCCACACCTGTCAGCACTTAGGCTAGGTCTATACTACCCGCCTGAATCGGTGGGTAGAAATTGATCTCTCGGGGATCGAATTATCACGTCTCGTCGGGACGCAACAATCGATCCCCGAATCGACGCGCTTACTCCACCAGCGGAGGTAGGAGTAAGCGCCGTCGATGGGGAGCCGCGGAGGTCAATTTTGCCGCCGTCCTCACAGCAGGGTAAGTCAGCGCCGATACGTCGAATTCAGCTACGCTATTCGCTATTCGCGTAGCTGAATTTGCGTATCTTAAATCAACCTCCCCCCCCCCCCGTAGTGAAGACCTGCCCTTAGATACCATGGTGATGGAAAGAAGGTAGACACCGAAAGTGAGGTTATAGCTTCTTTCTGTTCTTGCACTCTTCCAACTGGGCAGATGTTCCAGTTCACCTCTGGGCACTGTGGCAGGGTTTATCCTGGTTGAAGCCATTTTATGGGCATAATCTAATTTATGGTCCAACAGTGAAAAATTAGTCCATTATGTTAAGAATGTTCCCCTTTTGTGTAAGAAGTGCAAAAGAATAGGAACTGTAAGCTTAGTGTGCTGCTTCCTAGCATTCTGTTGGATCCTCAGGAAAGATGGAAGGTAGCATATCCTGGGGAGGGGGAGGGAGGAAGGAACAGCTGCAAATACCCCCTTTAGAGGTGGGTCCATAGGGGGGTCACATACATTATAGTGCTCTTTCAAACTGGCTTATATAGGGAATAGGGATCCATGGCATATTTAAATACAGTGTTTCCAAGTCCCTTGTCAGGGTGGTTATGCACTGGAATAAATTGCCTAGGGAGGTTGTGGAATCTCCATCACTGGAGATTTTTAAGAGCAGGTTAGACAAACACCTCTCAGAGATGGTCTAGATAATACTTAGTCCTGCCATGAGTGCAGGGGACTGGACTAGATGACCTCTCGAGGTCCCTTCCAGTCCTACGATTCTGTAATTCTATTCTGACATGAAACACACACATCCCCATGGTATTTGCAGATACAAATCCATTGATATGGTTTATATTATGCTATGCTGAGAGCGCCAGTAATTGGCAATGCTTTTTCCTGTGGCGAATTATATTATTGTCTGCACAGTGTCATACCAGTTACTTTGGCTTTTCCCTGACTCCTCTCACATTGTCAAACCACACCCCCATTTTTGCTTTTTGTGGGTCTTCTCTAGAGAATTGTATCTTGCCAAGTAGGAAGTTTGGGCAACTGCCTAGGTTTTAGAGGAAAGTTTTATAACAGGTGGCTGCTGTGATTCCTTGCTCTTTATAGCAGGGAGCTCATTGGACAATATGGCCCTTAATTTTTAAAATAGCTTTTCTCAATTTTCATGACATTGAGCATGCCACTTTCAAAGCTCTGTAAGGCATGGATCATACAGTTACAATGTAAATCATTCACTTCAGAAATAATCTTGTATTTAGAGGAGTCCTGGAGCCAAGGTATGACATGACTGCACACATCACCATCAATGTATGTATCTGCAGCTCTATTAATATTAAATTTAACTGCACACTATGCAAAAGTTATTTTGATGAGAAAAAAAACTATTAAATTACCATGTCTACTTCCAACTTGCATCATAAATCAAATTAGAGGTTAACTCAATTGGTGCTTTAGGGTGTCATATGAACTTTTGTAGTCTGAGCTCTAGGTATGCAAAACTGAATGGTTCTTCCTATACAGTCCATGCAAGGTCATCAGAGAGATCATAAACATTAGGTATAGTTTAATAATGAAGGTTTGAAATATGAAATAACTAGAGAAGTGTCTGAGCCTCAAGTTCGAATCCAGATTTTCTAATGTTCTGAAGTGTTTGGATTCAGCGTTTTGGTACCAGCCTACCTCTGGAAAGAATTAAAAAATCTGCACTAAATTAACTTTTTATAATCAAAATATATTTTCTCCTTTTCAGTGTAACCATAAAATGATCCATTTCCACAACTGCAAGAATATACTCTAGGGTCAGTTAATTAGTTCCACAACATGAGGCACTAACTATGCACAATTATAGGGGTAACAATACTCAATTAGTCCAGTAATCTTGACTTGCTGACCATCCTTTATTGTTTTATATTGATTTTATTACTACCACAATCTTGTGGCTGTGTTGGCTTAGGGGTCATGGACAGACTGGCAAACATTTTGGTTTGAATAATAATAATATGGAATGTTAAAGACAAAGTGAACTGAAATGTTCTCAATTCACATGTTTTTGATCTACTGTAATTTGTTTATTTCTTAGGCAAATGGGTATTTTCAAAAACAATATTTTTGGTTTTTGTTGTTGGTTGTTTTGGAGTAGAAACTGCAACATGAGGTGGGATGTGCTGTTTTATAATGAGCCGTTTTCTGCATTTCAGTAGCCTTCCTGTTAAAGATCCTCACATAGATAGTGCCTCTCCGGTGTATCAGGCTGTGCTTAAAACTCAGAACAAGTCTGAGGATGAGCTTGACGACTGGACTCGCCGTTCTGCCAATCTGCAGTCCAAGTCTTTCCGCATCCTTGCCCAGATGACCGGAACGGAGTACAGTAAGTCAAGCAATGAAGCCCCAAATTTGTTTTTAGATTAATTTTATTTTTCTTTCCTCTTTTATACACTAGCTGTTGAGTCTCAAAGATGACTCACTTCCTTCAGTAAACCTCCCCAATGTGGGCTAAACTCACAAAGCTCTGAATCTAGTTAATCAGCCACGAGTACTATTCTTTTATTGTGGTGAGTGCTAATAATAATCATTAACTAAACAAGATCCTGTAAATTCCACTGAAGCCAGAGTTGCTCCTGCTCACTTTATATCTCTGTATGACCTAATGGTGGAAAGCTGCCATGCTTATCCCCTTAGATTGTATTTTCTTTTATGCTTTTCTGGTAACCTGGGGTTGGATTGTGGGCCTCACCTAGTAGGTTTTTTTAATGGAAACATTTTCATTTCTGCAGTGCAAGACCCGGATGAAGAAGCCCTGAGGAGATCAAGGTAGGCAACTAGCAGCAGGCATTATGGCCTTCTCCTTACTGATAACCAATACCTAATGCTCTAAAATGGCATTAATATGAAAATACAAAACTAGATTTTTTTCTTAAATATTCTAACACATTTACTCAACAATCACTAAAATGAAAATGCTCTTGGCTTAGAAATCTGCAAGAAGTGCTTGATTGAAAAGATAACAATGTGACAGTTAGGTGTAATACAGTACAAAATCCTGGAATGAGTACTCAATCTTGCAAGCTCTTTGCACATGGAATTCCCATTGACTTCAGTGGGAGTGCTGTTTGTGCTGGGCTCATAGGATCAGACCCTATGTGACTGCATTCAATTCTGTAACTGGATGAAAATATATGATGTTGTGGTAGTGTTGAAATTTAATGAGCAATTTATTTGGATGATCCTGTGATTGGCACTTGATTCAGCTGACATGATATAGTAATGTAGTTGTTTCCAATTATAGACATGGAATAATCATCACCTGAATATATTTTATGTGAAACAGAAAAAAATGATTTTTTTTTTAGATAATACACAGTATGAGGATACAGGACTGCTTTTGCTACTGGAGAAAAGTACATATCCATTTTCAAATGTTCTGCCAGTAAGGATTTTACACATTCCTAGGCTCATAAACTGTAAGGCTGTTACGAACAGTTATGATCATCTAGTCTGACTTCTGCATAACACAAGCCATAGATTTTACCCAGAGATTTCTACATCTAGTTCAGCAACTTGTGATTGAACTAGAGTGTATGGGGTCCTAGCCTGATGTATTCTATTTACATATTCCACATCCCTATCTTGCCAAAAATATTTTAAACAGCTTGTTTAGTTTGTGATCTGTCTGGTATTTTGCCCACTCAATGTTTAAATTGTGTTATTATGAAATGGATTATATGCAAGGTTTTGGACTGTTGATCCTTCTGCACCTAGTAAGGTAGGGTTACAAATAATGAGTCGATGAGCAAAACACGTATCTTTTTACTTACAATATGAAAATACAAATCCAAGGGATATATTTTCAACTGGATGTATTTCCCATCCAGGTTCCACAACAGTTCATTGAAAGTTGCGTAGCTAGATGCCTCCATATCAGTTTGAGACTGTGCCACCCTTGCACTAAATTCTGTCCTCAAATATGCCAACACAATTCCTGTTGATCTCATTATAAGTCTCGATTCAGCAAGTGTGTACTGAAGTCCTGTTAACTTCAATGGAACTTAATACAAATCCTGCCGTATCCAAACAAACACTATGTACAGGAAGGACCTTCACTAGAACTAAATTCTGTCTGCTAATGCAAGGGCTTGGTTCCCATGCATCTGTTTGTGGGCAGAATGTAGACTGTCATGAGCTTTAGCTGTGGTCCATAAATAGAAGATGCATATAGAAAGGCCTGGGTGTTGAAAAAAAACACTTGGAATTGGATAGATTTTTAAAAGACTAATTGGTTAATAACACATAAGTCTCTGCACCAGGGATTGGCAACCTTTGGCACGCGCCTCGCCAGGGTAAGCACCCTGGTGGGCCGGGCCGGTTTGTTTACCTGCCGCGTCCGCAGGTTCGGCTGATCGCAGCTCCCACTGGCCGCGGTTCACTGTCCCAGGCCAATGGGGGCGGCGGGAAGCAGCGGCCAGCACATCCCTCGGCCCACACTGCTTCCCACAACCCCCATTGGCCTGGAACGGTGAACCGCACGTTTTGGAAGGCATGGAAGGAGGGAGTGATATATTTACAGCATGCTCCCCTCTTCTTCTGCCCTCTTACCCAATACAGCAGAAACCCCTTCACAGGGTCCTAGTTACAAAAGGTCAGAGGTATAAACGGGTGTGCATTATGCTAAGCTCCACCCCCAGGCTCCCAGCAGCATAAATTACTGTAGACAGAGCCTGCAGCATTGTACATTGCTACTCTTTCATGGTTTGAAATCCACAGTGGGGGTTTCTGGGGCAGCCAAAGGCGAAGGGATCCCCTGGAAGTACAAATACTGCAGGAGTCTTTGCAGTTCTTCAGCGATCCATTGGTTTGAGCTGTATATCAGACTGTCAGATGCCATCCCTGATGGAAAAGTTTCATGTACACATAAGTTAAAATGTCAGAATTCTCATGTAATGGAGAATTTTGGTTGAAAGTCATGCCTGCCAAGAATGCTCTCTTCTCTCTCGTGCTTTTCCTCTCTTCTCTGTGTATCAGCTTTGTTCGGTGTGAACAATAATAAGGGTTGAGTCAAACTTAGTGGTAGCTCCATGTCTACTTTTTCTTTTAGACATTTTCAAAGAAGGAAAACACAAGTAACTTTCCTATTTTTTTAATGCAAGTGTTCACCCCTAGACTTGGTGCCTATTGTCACAGATACTGGCATGTACTCTGAACAGAGCCCATAATGTGCAGGAATTTTCAGATGGCAAAATGCCTGTTTCTTAATATAATAATGAGTGTGTTTTATGACTCTTTTGTTCAAGTTATACTGGCAGCCACACAGGCACATGTGGCAGTGGATGAAAGGCACTTTGAGGTACTTTTGATGTAAGATTACCATTTGTTGTGAAACCTTTCCTTTGCATTGGGATTGTTATGAATGTTTTGTTGAAAAATTGATAAGTAATTTGTCTATCGCCAGTAAAACAGACATCTCTTGAATTAATACCCTTCCGTATGTGGAGATGGAGGGATATAACTTCAAAAAAATGAGGGATTTCTTAAACTTCATGATTCCTATTAAATCCAGTTGAAGCTGCACAGCTACCACCCTGCACATTGCTTTGAAAAAATACCTCTCAAAGTTGCAGCATCACAGCTAGGGGTATTCTGAATAATTTTATTTTTATAAGCATAAAGTGGCATTTGAGAAATCATACATCAACAGAGTTCCTTAGAAGTGTTATTTGTATCATATTATGCTGTTAGAAACTGAAGAATTAAAAAAGTTAAAGTACTTGTCACCATTTATTCTGTGGGGTTTTTTGGGGGGGGGGAGGGTTGTTTGTTTGTTCGTGCTTTGTAAAGCTTGGAGAGTGAAACTAGCCTGGTCTGTTTATTTTCTTTTTCTCTAATCAGTTTCACTCTCTGGCTCTCCTGTATTAATACAGTGGTTTTGTGTTTGGATATAAGCCTTTCAGGAGAAATGAACATGTCTGCTTTGAAACAAACACATGCACAAATCATGT